GGGACATTTCCTGTACACGTTTCTATGTGTCCTTGGAACGCTTAAAAATCAAAAGTTAAAAACGATTTTGATATCAGATTTTCTAATCAGAAAACTAAATTATTTAAGGTCAAAAATACAATAGCTTTGAATTGATAGGGTTTGTTTTTGGTCAAATAAAAATATAAAAATATATAAAATTGTAGAAAAAAAAAATCTAACGATATAATAATGCTTTATTTTTTCATTTCTCAGTATTTGTCAAATATAGTTTCAAATTAAAACATCAACCCAGTTATTTCCACGGAATTACTTTCCGTTTAACAAATCATCTATAACCGATACGTACAGTTGTGCAACAATACACTGCCTAGATATATAACAACATACACATCACTACGTTTCTTAGCGGTGTCAACATTTTCGCATGTAAACCAGTTTAATTTAACCAGTGTCAATAGCCACTCCGTTTAATTTATTAAGTATACCGACATGCCTAAAAGACTGGCTACCAGCCCCTAAGTTTTTATGAAGAATTTAATCGGCTGCATTTTAATCAGACATCCAAGTGATCTACATTTTTAGAGTTAAACATATGATATTTAATAAAATAACCAAGTTTGAAACAGTCAACCAAATGTTTCCGTTATTCCCCTATTGCATATCAAAATTATATTTCTGATTAATTTAACCAAGGGGTAATTAATAAAAATGTAAAAATTGATTCATATTGTTTAAACATAAATAGATAATTGAGTTGGTAATTGATGGAATTACTAGTAAGCGTTGATCTACCGACGATTCTGTGTTAGTGACGGCTGTTAAGTATGCTACCAATTGAATTAAACGGACGGGTCTTGGTAAGGTAACGCCGGGGTGTATCAGTCCCTATCGACGAGTTATCTCCCTTCCAACGTGAGGATTCCCCGGGGACCGTAGACCTACAGTTTAGACACCGATTGTTATGCATTACTTTGCTGACCTTTGTCTATCCGATTCGTCATATAGTTTTTTTTACGTATTACCAGTCTATTTAGCGTGTGATGGTATTAGTTTACACCACAATCAGTGATGTATATAAGTCAGTAACAACGATAGGCTAATCACTGTATTGGTGCCTTGTAACTGAATTTAACGTGTTACAGTATTGAACGCAGATCTGCATATTTCTTTTCATATATAGATAATTATGACGTTGTATTCTTTAATTGCCAAATAACACGAGTACCACTTTACTGTAGTGTGACAAAACACACGAGTCCGAATATTTACTCAGTCATAAGCATGTTCTCAACTAAGCTGTTTATACATAGTAGGAAATTAAAAAAAACTTACAGAACAGGCTGGGGTGCGCTGACAATATTTCAAAAATATTTTCCTCTAAATAGTGAATCATCTATGAGTAAGCGACATAAAATTTTTCAAAAAAATATGAAACAGCAGTAGGTGAAGGATTTGTTTTTAAACTGAAACTGATTGTGTCTGAGTACAGACCATTTCCCCTTGAGTTTTGCGTCAGATCATGTTTCAAGGTTTTTTCCGAATGCAATACACAATATAGCCAGATATATACATAATAAAAGATACTTATTGCAATGTTCAAGACGGCGGAGGACAACTCCATACATATTTTTGCATTTATCACACAATATTGAAATCATACTTCAGCAATATCACAATATTAGGGTTTTTCTTTTGGCGGTAGCATGCCGTAAATAGTTACCAATTCGACTTTTCGAATGTTTTAACACTTTTACGTGACAACAATCGGAACAACTTATACACACTGGGGCGTCGGTAGTACTAATGATTAATGTATGTGTTTCTTACTAAAATAAGCAGGACAAAAAAAAAGAATAAAATGTGTGTCATCTTCAATATAATTTTTATCGAAAGCTAAACATATCCTTTGACCTCTCGGAACCCCATTATAACGACCAGATTTGATGTTAAGTGAATGCGCCAGCGTGTGATACTGACTCACCACTGTTTCGGTAATAGAAGTTGAAGGCTTTACTAGATAAAACAGCCCATAAATAGTATCGACAGGGTGTCTACATAAATATCATTTAGAGGATGTTTCAAACGCGCCAATTTGAATTACTCTTAACTATTATTTACAATGTCTTTTAAGCTCATGAAAACAATATTTAAATCTGTAATTTTTACTTCACGATCGATTTTTTTCACAATAAAAACACTAAAATAACATTTAAAACTGTTTTGTGTGTACCATTGATACACATTATATGCACTATTTTTCTTGAAGTGAATTGAACTTTTAACAATTTCTTGACTGCCCAGGGCTCTTGAAACTTTCGAAAGAATGCCAAAAAAATATTATCCGTAAAATCATAGAACGATATGACGGACCAGAATCTCGAATTTACTAAAACGTAGCAGATCGGAAATCAGAACTAAATTAATTTGAAAATAAGCAATCAAAAACAGTTTATTTTATCTAAACACGAACCTATTAGAACATAGCAGGACGAGTATCATCAATATTCTGGGATCTTAATAAATTAATTTCGGGACAGGTGGAACAATAAAAGAAAACAATAAATGTTCAATTCAAAATGTACTTAATCAAATAATTTTGATGTTTCCATTGGTACAATACAACTGTGAATGCAGAGAGAAAAATTAGATACATATTTATTCTGATAAATTGTGCCTAATCCCTTCCCCAATGTGTGGCAATAAATATCTTAAAAATTAAATCCGGTCAGAAGAGGAATCATGATTATTGTTGTGATTGATGATAATTTTTATAATATTTTTTTTGCTTATGGTTTTTATTCCTGATTGTTAGGTTTTCGTTTTTGACCTAACAGAACTAAACACTGCAGCCTACGTCTGTGATATCACGTGACTTACTCTTGTCTCCGTTAACGTGCACTAGTCGTTATCACCACCTTTACCACATGTTGTACGGAAGTGAACTTCACATTTCAATCTTATCCTTTAGCGATACCACTGTGTCAACGAGACTTACTCGTGTTTCGATAAAGGGGGAGATAACTCTATCTTAAATACACTCATTATCACAGGTTTCGTAATACAACACTCGTTGTATAGTGTTAGGTTGGCAATTCAGATACGGTCTCCACGCTGTCGTAGGACATCCGGGCAATATCGACACTGAAGCTGTGACGACACGATAGCGGGCTCAATAGCCGTTGTGTAACATTTAAATAAGACTGATCGCTTACATCATTAAGATAAGACGGTATATCCTGTGTGTCGGTGTCTGCGCAGCTTAACTATACGTATTAACATGATTTTTAAATGATACAATGCTCATTTCAGACGTAAAACACGTCACATTTAACACATCCCAAACTATTATACATCTATGACATTTCACTGTTATAAAATAATTTTGATTTTCAGCTTATAAGTGGAAGATACCGTCCGTTTATTTCAACTTTCTCTCGGACCATTATGTAGGCAGGCGAGGTACACTTGTACATGAATTCGGCGTAACGTATTGACACATCCACTGAGTAAACAGCCCTTTAGATCATTACAAATATAAAGAAACGTCGCTTACATCAGTAAGATAAATTAAGTACATAGGAACGGACAGTTAAGTCTGACACGTTACATACCAGTTTTAATGTTGAGTATATAAACAAAGGTCACTCTTTAGTATTTTAGATAACCTCATTCTGTTTCTTTTGACGCGTATAAGTTACATATTTTGTTGCCCAGCTGTATGGAAATTAACAATTGACATTAACGCCAAATATTCACAGTTGCTCTGCTTCCTTCCTTTGTAATGCATTGAGAAGGCAAATGTTGTTATGAGACTATAACAACGTTTGCTATTGTAAGGTCATCAATTACATTGTTGTCAAGACTTAATTTGCTGTTCAAAGAACTGTTCGAAATGACTAAATAACGCGTAGCTGCTTTATCAAAATGCAAATATATATAATGAATATTTTAGCAAATATTGTTATGGTCCTATAATCCCCTTTCTATTGCTGACAAACTTACATAATGCCTGCCGGGCTTTATTCAGTTTGTCATCATAGCAATGTGTGTTATAGGACCATAACAACATTTGCTAAAATATTCATTGCTTCAGTAAAATCCGTTATTGTCTTCAAAACACTTATATAGTTTATTCCGTCTTTTCGTTTTACAGAGCTAGTTTCTCTTGTGAACAGGTATTGAATAATATTATTACGTCATCTGTTTGTGAGAGTAACGTCATAAATTTTTGAGAAATCGACGTAATTTTCTCACACAAACCAATGACGTTACAACTTCTGCAATACGCAAAGACGGAATATGCATGTTAGTATCCAGCCGCTAGCTTTGCGTGTATTACAAATCGTGTTTTAATGACCCATAGTTACCATTCTTATATTTTTCACGCCAATATCATTTGATAGATACGATTTGTTCAGATACTCTTTTTCATTTAAAGGCGCACATTCCTTCTCTGTCTGTGACTGCAATTAAACTGATTTGTTTTACTTCTAACGTTTCACTTCTATTTAATGTAAACTCGCTTAAACTAAATACTATTGCCTTATTGGGAGTTATAAAACAAAACTTGTCCTATCTAAATAAACACTATCGCCTGCATGCAAGAAGTTTTTTATGAGCACGGCCAAAAAAGTTCCAGTTTGCGGCACATTTCTGCTATTTAGTTTAAATCATATTGTATTCGTGTCAATTTACGTGTACAACTACAAAAGACATTTACATAAATGCTATCTATACATGTAGTTCCCTTCAGAATACGTGGTACCAGCCTTTACTATTGACCTTTTTATAGATGCTTTATCTAAGTAATTATTTATTTATTCATTCATTTATTTTTATATATTTATTTATTACATATGTATTCCTTTGTACTTAGAACACTAACATGTAAGTAACGGTCTCGTGAAAAACACTTTAACTATTTTGTAAACATTCCAGTATGCTCAAACACAAGTTCCCTTTCTAAAAAGTTACTAAACTGTTATGTTTAATATTCTGTATCCGATTCTTCTTTCCAGCCGGCTTCCCACTAAACCCCCTGTTCCAACATGACACCCCGGGGAAACATACCCACTGCCGACGGAGGAAAGCGCGCACTGTCTTCAGTGACCAACAGTTAAATGGATTGGAGAAGAGGTTCGAATCTCAACGCTACCTATCAACTCCCGAGAGAGTGGAGCTCGCCTCTCAGCTCAGTCTGTCGGAAACTCAGGTATACTTTGCCTCTCCGGTATTGTGGGTTGATTCATAGATGTATTTCATTTCAATTTGGTTATTCTCAGTAACCGTTATCTTGGCAACTGTTGTCTCAGTAACTGTTGTCTTGGTAACTGTTGTCGTTGTAACTGTTGTCTCGGTAACCGTTGTCTCGGCAACTGTTGTCTCAGTAACCGTTGTCTCGGCAACTGTTGTCGTTGTAACTGTTGTCTCGGTAACCGTTGTCTTGGCAACTGTTGTCGTTGTAACTGTTGTTGTTGTTGTTTTAACTGTTGTTGTTGTAACTGTTGTCTCGGTAACTGTTGTCGTTGCCTTTGTTGTCTCGGTAACCGTTTTATTTGTAACTCTTGTCTCGGTAACCGTTTTATTTGTAACTCTGGTCTCGGTAACCGTTTTATTTGTAACTCTTGTCTCGGCAACTGTTTTATTGTAACTCTTGTCTCGGTAACCGTTGTATTTGTAACTCTTGTCTCGGTAACCGTGTTATTTGTAACTCTTGTCTCGGTAACTCTTGTCTCGGTAACTGTTTTATTTGTAACTCTTGTCTCGGTAACCGTTTTATTTGTAACTCTTGTCTCGGTAACCGTTTTATTTGTAACTCTTGTCTCGGTAACCGTTTTATTTGTAACTCTTGTCTCGGTAACCGTTTTATTTGTAACTCTTGTCTCGGTAACCGTTTTATTTTTAACTCTTGTCTCGGTAACCGTTTTATTTTTAACTCTTGTCTCGGTAACCGTTGTCTCGTTAGCTGTAAATGCTCACTCGTATCGACAGCGAATTTCTAATTTTCTTTGTGTGTAAACATCACGACAAAAAATGTGGTCTCTTTCTCTTTTACTAATATCACGTTCGAAGAGCGGTTAATTAGGATTACTACATACGTTCATCCATGATATCTTGTTACATATTGAATAAAACATGCTTAAATTAAAAAGTGATTTGATTGTTTAATTTCAAAATACCTTTGAATTGTTACAGGTAAAAACATGGTTTCAAAACAGAAGAATGAAACATAAAAAGTTACAAAAGAAAGGAGACGACGCCGACGACGACGAAAATACCAGCGAAATGAATGACGACTCAAATACTGCAGACAATTTCTCATCTAAACACGGTGACAGCTCGCCTGTAGAGGGCATGCCATCTCTGTCGAGTGGAAGATTAAATTCCAGTTACGTTCATGCGCAGTCTAGTGCTTCTGGTGTTACCATTTACGATGATTCTGACAACGAGGCAGATGAGGAAATCGACGTTGTTGACTCTGACAGTGAAAAGATACCATGATTAATTATTTCAAATTGTACATCATCATATTTTATATCATTGTTATGACCGCCATAAACTTTATCATTAACGTTTCAACCACACCGGATCCAGTATCAAGTTTTGTAATAATTCTGGGTGTATTTGTTGATATATCCACCATATTGATATCGTTTGTTAACAAGCCTAGACCATGTATTCGATGTACAAAGCCAACTTTTCCGCTTAGTTTTCTGGATCCGTCTCATTTGATTGAAACGCTTGAATATTTATCTAAGTTAACATTGTATTATTTAATAATTGACGTTTTTTTTATCAATATTTCTTAGTCATTTTCGACAAGTTGTTATCGATGCTATCACCAATGATACGTTTATTTAAGTAATCATTACAGACTACGCCATAACGCCATAACATTCCCTATGAAGCAAACCCTTTCATTTCGTCCCCGTGAAGCATTCCTTTTCATTTTGTCTCCGCGAAGCATTCCCTTTCACTTTTGTCCCCGCGAAGCATTCCCTTTCATTTCTGTTATTTAATTGGTGCTCAATTATTTACATTTTATGTGACAACGAGTTTATGATATGTTACTTTTTACATATAACTCAACCATCCAGCTAAAGCATTCATTAGTTCTACATTTTACCTTTGGTTCTCCCTGTCAAATAATTGCGAAAAATAATGAGAGTAACGTTTTAAATAGAAACATGAAAATGTTTAATGGTAAAACATTTGTAAACAACACTCAGCTGTCCATGTACGACATGTAACATTATAATTGAAATATCAATTACATCGTTAACATTCCAAACCAATTAAAAGTCACTATTTAAGATGACGAGACTTAACGAGCTGTCCACGAGCGAGGTCCTAAATAAAACACTGTCTTATTTGATCTGACAAAATATGAAAGCTCAACGCTGACATTACCGTACGTCAGAGTACGTATATACTCGGCTTAATTTATATGTCTCTGAGTACGTGTAGCAGGTTTCCACGAACAGTACAGGTAGTGATACCTGGTAAACTATATATATATATCCATACCAGTAGTACAGATGAAAGTTCATATATCCATACCAGCAGTAACAGATGAAAGTTTATATATCCATACCAGCAGTAACAGATGACAGTTTATATATCCATACCAGCAGTAACAGAGGAAAGTTTATATATCCATACCAGCAGTAACAGATGAAAGTTTATATATCCATACCAGCAGTACAGATGAAATTCTATATATCCATAACAACAGATGAAAGGCTACACAATCCATTATATTAATCAAAGAAACAGTAATCCGCCAGCAGCACGAACAAGCACACTACCTATAGTATCTCAAAAGTTCCAAGACTGAATGAAGTCAGATTTAAACGTTCTGGTCCATACGCATGTAGTGTTAGTCACAATGCGCATGCGCATGTCGTCAGGTTTGGTGTTTCTGTGGAAGCCCAACGGTACCATATAAAATGAAACTATTCTCGTAACATGAACTATGTACGCAGTCCCCCACCCCAAGGACTCACTTGTTCTCCTAATACCGTCCGCCAACTCACGTACTCCCCTACCACCTCCCCCTCCCCTGCGGTACCTCCCTCCCTTGTCTACCAACTCACGTACCCCTCCATCATATCGTGGTGCTCACCCCCAACCTTCCCCATCCCTTCTCCCATAGTGTGGTACCTACCTCCACCCTTGTCCGTCACCCTGCGTACCCACTTTCACTCGCAGAAACCAATCTTTGTATCCTTGTAGTGAAGTGAGATGATAATTTATCGTGCTGTTATGTGGAAAATTTTGTGTCAGAGAAAGACGAAACTGTATTATATTACAATGCATATTTTAAATGTTTTATGTTGTTTTGTTTTGTTAATTTTAGTCTCATCCAAATACTGTATCAATCGTTCTGTAACCAATGGGAATGTTTCGTATGACATACAAAATTTATGTAAATGGGATGTGTCACTGTGACGTTAACACAAAACTTACGTGCTCTGACGTCACACTCTCTTTTAGGCATGTTAGTTCAGAACTAACGAGTAATAATGGTGGATGCACGTGTATGAAAACATATACCATGTATGTAGTGTATGACAGTTTACTTACACGTGTGTGCTATATATAACAATGTACAGTTTTCATTGTTTAACATTTTATTAGATTTATGCATGCATTCTAGTGTCGTATGCACGCGTATGTCCTGTCCGCACGTGACTTAACTGACACGCGCAAACCTAACGTACACGTGTGCATCAGGAGATCCATGTTGCATTTATCATGTTATAGTATTAGTGCTTACAATGATTTGTGTTAAAACCCGTCGGAGAAATATTGAAATATTGAAACTATGAATAAACTAATAAGAAATACTACTTTTGTCCTTTGTTGTCTTATAATTTTACTCCTGGCCCCGGGATCATGAAACAATCTTAGACTTTTTTTTTTGCTTAGCTAATCACTTATGACGTCACTTTCATGATGTTATTTTGGATTGGCTAAGTCCAAACTCAATACAAACTCAGATTTAAAATCGTTTCGTGATCCTTGGGCCTGTATAGTATTGGATGGCGTCAGTGTAACATGTATCATACATATGTACACCTACTGCGATTTCACAGCTCTGATTGGAGAAAAGACGTCATGTGACCAGTCTGTTTTTATAAACTCCATGATATCAACAGTTTTACAGACCATAACGCAGATCATTCTTTGAGTTCGGAATGAGAAGGTAAAATCTTGAGATTGTATAAACAGTTATGTACTTCAGTCTCGGTTAACTGTTTATTTACGAACCTGATCTTATCAAATCACAACAAGACCATACCATAGTGTCAGCAACACGATACCTCAAAACAAAACTAAGCTAAAGGGAAATATGACCAAAGGAATATTTTACACGGAGACCTTTCGAAAAAATACAACGAGAATAAGACCAGGTGTTCCGGCAGAGTAAGCGCATTTTGCTTTATCAACCACACCCGCCATATAGAACTTGGTAAAACCATGTAAAGTCACAAGCTCTTGAATATGAATACCGTGTTATACAGTGCCATAAAGCCATCACATAAATTATGTTTATTTAACGTGCGTAATGTCACTCCGGAAATGACGTCACGATCGAATAAAAACAACAAATGTGACGTCACGTCATTGTGAAGCGGACGCAATTTTCATCCGTTCAGAGGCGGTGAAGTGCAAAATATTCGTTTCAGATCACAATTATACAGTTTACTATGTATTATATGATAAAAAGAATCTGTCATTCGTTTCCCTTCATATTAGATTTATAACGAATTAACTGCAACATGTAAACACCTTACGTAAGGAAAGCTGGGATGCTAGTGTCAAGGAAGGGGAAACGTTCACAAACAGAAAGTCGAAATCGTCCCGCTTATCGTACAGCTTAGTCGTCAGCCGTTCTTATTGGTCAGTTTCTAAGATCACCAGGTCCGAACGGATCTGATCTCTCGTGATCGATACCCCTAAACTGAGGTCCATTACAGTATAATATATATTTGTCCATGTACTTCACGTGTAAATACGCTAGTTTGAAGGATGATAATAAGGAAACACTAATGTTACCCTTTGGATATCACTTATTTATCTTGAGAGGTTTACATGATACTAATATAGAATAAGTCTGATTATACTGTACGTTTAAAATTTCTATGATTTTCACTGAAAACAATTTCATTGTCTTTATTTTATTTCCGGAAACAACAGGAAATTACCAACGAACTGTCAAAAATAATCAGCAGACAGGATAGTTGACGTCATAATCAAGTCAACCAGGTCTTGCGACGTCACAATCATAACAATACCCCGTATGATGAAATGCAAGAAATGTTCGATATAACGTCAAATGCTTCTGAAACAATAAAAGAGATGGATTATACTTCCAGAAGTATGACGTTTGACAAACTAACTGGTTAATTTCTATTGGCAATGAGACAGATTTATTTGTGCTTGTCAGGTATTACAGTAAATTGATATCGGTAAAAATACCAAAATAAAATATCTAACACATATTTCCTGCCATTTCTGTCAAATTAAGAACAAGACATTACGCAATAACAACGTTACTTGTCAATTAAAAACGTTAACATTTACATATTAGCAGTTTTCGTTTGTGATGACCAGTACAAAAACATTTTTAAATACCAAAGTACACAAAGACGGTGTGCCTGGCGAATGCAGGTAGCCTCAATAAAATGGCGACAAAAACAATCAATATCTGTGCAAAATGACCCTGTTTACAGTTTTTATCTGACGTTAGCTTCCATCATAATGCAATTTATGACATTAAGATATATGTACTCTTTTACGCTATTAAAGAATTTCGTCATAAAAATTGAAACATGACAATTAAAAAAAACAAAACAATACGACTGCTATAAAAGAAAATCAGTGAATGTATAACTACACTTCTAACCCAAATAGTGTAGTTTGTGTATCTGATATCGCAGTATTCACAGAAAGCTACTGTTTAACTACTGCCAACAAAGTAAACTAGCATAGGCATGAACTCTTTGTATTATTCCTACTTTCGTTTGACCTAGATTTACATGACAAGTGTTGTCGATGAAGTGAGGACGCTTATTCTTAAGGAACACCTGGTCCTATTCTCAATGTACTTTAAAACTTTCAACACGTGGTTTCCAAAGATACAGGTTGATGACGAATATTGACAAGTGTTGATCAGAATCTCATTGAGAAATACGTAATTCTCTCCGTGAAGTTTAGGTCGAGGATTTCATTATAGTGTGCCTTGTGATTTGTTATCACTTTGCCAAAGTTCTCGATGCAAGGACGTGACATTTCCTAGATTTACTTATGCTTAGCCTTCTGGAGCACCTGGGCCCGTATTCAGGAAACGTTCTCATGCTCAAGTATGGAATCTGTACTCAAACCGAATTTCTTAAACAGATCTTATTTTTTCAATGATTTGAGAAAACATTGAAGAGACTTAAAGCCGACAACTGTTTTCATTGTTTACATTTGACTTTTTGACCGTTAGACATGATTTAAGCGAGTTACAAGAAAGTAGGTTTGAGCACAGAATCCATGCTTGAGCATGAGAACGGTTTCATGAATACGGGCCCTGGTCTTATTCTCCTTGTACTTTTTTACGGGTCTCCGTATACATATTTTCCTTCTTTTTGCATAGATAAAGGTTTTATTTCAGTTCCCTGCATTTTTTTATAAAAGCAATTGAAATATTATTAGTTACTGTAATACAAACTCATACATACAGTCTCAATATTAATAACTGAGCACAGGTCACATTCCGTCTGCCCAATTTACAAAAAAAAAGTTTTATTTTACACACTATCTTCTCATCTGTGCACGCTCACTGTTATGTTACAATGTATGTTTCTCTTAAATTGTTTTCTTATTTTCATGTTTTATAGTCGGTTGTAAAAGCCTTGAACAACTAAGGCAAAATATAAACAAAAGGCAATGTACATCAACATCACAACGATGTTGTTTTTATAAAACTGCATCCTCGATATCCAGGGGTTGCGCTCACTTTCGTTCACTGCACCCCTGGAATATGCCATAGCAAAATTGAAGGCACGCGGCTAGCTATTTGATTGGTGTCAGGTAAAAATACCTGACCAATCACTAGGCTGATAATTTTCCTTTGAAGATTACAAAGGGAGTCTCATCCACAAGGTGCTGCACATTGAGTCTTCGATTTGTTTGTGACATATTCCAGGGCTGTAGAGAGCGAAAGTGGATATCGAGGATGATAAAACTTGTCATATTTGAAAACATACATACTATTTTGTACTAGTATGTAGTTACTAAATTTGGGATCTTTTCTTTTCTCTTCTTTCTAAACAACTTTATATTTCCTAATGTCTCCCTTTACAATGCCTCACTTTTGACCTTTAGTTGAGCGATCGCCCCTGTAAGGAAGGCTTTGTATTCTTTCCCGTTGCCGAGACAAACCAGAGTCTGTTAAAATTGTAGTTTCTACTCCTGCTTAACGCATTTAGAAGTGGGACGACTGGTTCGCCCGTTGTCAGTATAATGTGACCGGGTGGGGCGTCCTGCTGGGTGTCGTCGGCAGTATGTTTCAGTGAGGTAACACTATAATGTCGGCATCAGATCCGCGCTATGCACAAGGAGACAAACACGGACATATCGCAGCCTCCCAAAACACACACGCATACACTACACGCATGCATCTTGCACACGGGGGAGGCCGTCCTCAAATGAACATAGCTGTTGATAGGACGTTAAACAATACTAAACCAAACCAAACCTAGTAGGTAGTTGTTTCCACACATTTGTCCCGTACCGAGAAGACATCTTTGAATGACGAAAATCTTTGAACAAAGGAAAGCACCATCAAGAAGACATGGAGATTTTTGAGTCGGTGCTTAACCTTCAGAGGGTGATGCATTAAAAAGAATACTAAATAATATGATAAATATATAAAGTTTATCTGATGGTATCATAATGTCAGGCATCATTTACATAAACAGAAGAGAGAATGAAGAATTACGTTGCACAAAAGTGCGGAACTGACGTATTATTCCGAGGGGTGAATTGTGTGGTCTTAACGTGTACAGAATGTAAACATGTTTTGTCCTGTTAATGGTAGTCATCTGTCCGTATCTAAACACAGCGACTCGCATGTACCACACATCAAAGTGTTAATTGTATTGAGATGTTGACGCCTGACTTAGCCAGTCAAACACACAAAGTAACGACGCAGTGTGACTTTAAACGTCAACCTTTATTGAACAGTTTAAAAACCAACAGAAACATTTCAGTGTTTGAGAATTAGAAGCTTTATTTAATTGTTGATAGGAACGCATGTCCAAACATACTTAGGACAATGATTACATTAATGAAGTTGACAAACACGCTTTAAATGTCGGTTACTTATATCATTTAACCTCGAAATCCTTACACACACATAACATAATGATTGTAGAGGAACGCTAATTGTCTGATCAGGAGGGAGCACCTGTCCATGGAGCTTGTCACGGCGACGGGAGTGGCCGTATATTGATCGACTGCCGATGGACCAACCAGCTACCATATGACGGGCAATTGTATGATAATGTTATATGCAAATGAAACAAGTTATCCTGCCGCACGAATTCTATGAAATGGGCTTCTGCGAGTTTCAAAGCTCCTGTAGGGAAGGGGAACGGCACTCGACAATCCTTATTTGACAGTTAATGAAGTCAAACACTTCAAAAACAGTGTAAATGTTTCCGGTGTGATAGACAAACCCTCTTTAACACTATCTTGTGTATGCCATCCACCCTGTTTCGTTGCGGTTTCAGCTTAAGCATTTGATAAGCATACGATTGTTAGAGTGAGATAATTTCATGTTT